ATCATTATAGGAAATTGGAAAAAAGTCAAATCCACTTCAGACTGACGAATGACCTGCTGGTTATCTGATGGCTCTCCTTCAAGTGGCACTAGGAGACAGAGTAGCTAGCGCTAAAGCTGCACATCACTTTAACTATTAACTCCCTACAATCCAGACAGAAGACTGTGCTGTTAGAATCCCTATAAAAACCTAATTTTGACAGCACAGCTCTGTTTCCTTATTTCATTGATCAAAATTATCTACACTACTTACTAACATAATCTGCTGTGAGTTGCCTTGAGACAATGATAAAATTTATTTGCCTTGCAATTAAACAAGCTAAACACTTGTTTGAAGGAGGACTACTTCTAGTCTCTAGTCCAGCGGTTCTTAACCTGTGGGTTGAGACCCCTTTTATAACAATGAAAATACATGGCAGCATTAGGAAGTTTGAGAACCAAGGCTGTAATCAGTAGTTCTGCCATAATCTATTCTGCCATAATCTTTACTTCCTTTTATTTTTTGTGTCATGAATCTCAATGATGTCAAAATAAATTAAGAAAACCAAACTCGTTATTTATTATAATTCAACTATGTGGTCAACTTCTTGCTTAGTCCTGCTATTATCTGCAGTTTTCAAAGTAAACTGATGGGTGTGTAATCTGATTCATCTATTTTGTTTAGCATTCATCTTTACCTCACAAATTAAGGAAAGCTCAATAGACTTGTAATTTACAACACCTTTACAGAGATTACTTTGTATCAGAAATAGAAAATGTGTCTCTATAAATCAGGAAAAGGATTTAAGTAAGTGCTTTCTTTACTTATCAATTAGTACTTTCTGTGGCAACATGCACATTAAATTAAGGCTGCTGGAATTTCTTCCTCCCCTATCAGGTAAACGTTCTTTGCCAAAAAAAAAAAAATTAAAAGCAGCAGTTTTTTTTTTTTTTTTTAAAGCCGGGGCTGGGTTTGAACCCAACACCTCTGGCATATGGGACTGGCACCCTACTCCTTAGGGCCACATTTTAAAGTATTTTTTAAAAAGCTAAATTCATATATTCAAACGAAACTCAAACACACAAACTACCTAACTCTGCTTCCTCTGCTTTAATTTTCTACCCTCTGGTCATTGTAAGTTTATTATCTGGTCTCTTAGAGAATCTATTCCTTCAGCATAATTAATGCAATTAAAATACAACAACACACACTAGAATGAGGTTTAAACATGGTTAGTCTACTCAGGTGTTACAAGGACTGAGAAACTTTGCTACTAGTTCTTCAAGAGACTAGATTAAATGCCAGATAAGTAGTTACAAGGAAGCAGATAATACAGTAATTTGTGACGCCTACTCCATACAACATAGCAAACATTTAGGTGTTTAAACAAACTGAAAGCCACCTTGTAGAGCCATAGAAATAACTGCTAAAGGATGCTGGACTAAATAAAAAACCACCCGACCCTTCCAACTCTTAACTATAGCTACACTGAAAATACCGCATCATGTTCACCAATGAGTGGTTAAACCAGTCTTTTAAGATTAAACTGTCTTCTTTCAGACAGGTCTTATGAGTATGAACATGGGCTCCTTAAACTACAAAACCTCCCACCTGAATATAGTGGGAATATGCTGTATCTCAAGATTAAATATTTGGAAACTATGAAAAGAAAAAAGCAATCTTCCCTCTAAATTCAACCATTTTATTCTGAACTTAAAAAAATCAAACTACAAAAAAATCGAAGAATAGGCCAAACAATGTAAGTTTAGGACTAAGCACTGATACTTTTACAAAAAGCTCCTCTGGTGATTCTAATGTGTACCTAGGAGTGAAAAACAGAGAGGGATGTCTCCTCTGCAATTATCAACGTCACAATAACAACCTAAAAGCATGCATAAACTAAATTAAAACTAGTATCAGAAAAAATATGCTTACTTAAATAAAGCGTAATATTGATAGTACTAAGTTAACCTAGGCAAAATAAATAAATAAATAAAAATTCTATAGTTCTAATAACTTGGACAGCAAAGACAAAAGCTTTTAACAAGAAACAGGAGTTTTTTTCTAAATGGTTCACCAGTGGCCAACCTGTTAGTCCCCGATTCCAGTGACCTATTCTCAGAGCACTGGCTTCTCCTTGGGGATTTTCGATACTTCACTCACTGTTGCCATGACGACAGCTTCATCTCTATGTACCACTCCACATCACCCAGGCTTTGGTAAATGTAGCTGGTCGCTGTATAGTCGGTTGCAAGGGAAAAAAGAGTTGAAGTTAATAACATATACAAGTTACGCGTCTGAGTAAACTTGTAATATGCATAGAAACACTTTTACATCCTGCTTTAAAAAAAAGGCTTCCATGCAATTAATAAGTCCTTTTAAATTTCATGCTGTTATCAGACTAAAATGGAAACAAAAGCAATTTCTCTGTAAGTAATGATCAAAAAACGCACTGTAATGTCAAACACAACAGTCAGGTGAGATTATTTAAAATTCCAAGGTTCCAACAGGTCTTAAGACCTATTCTGACATTGAAAACTCAAGTCGTTTAGAAAAATTTCAAGAAAGCTAAACCATGGGATTATAAAATAGTTGGCTCAATGGTTCAAAGAATACTACCAGAAAACTACTTTCTTTAAGCAAACAGACTCCTCTGACTAAAGACAGAGCCTCTTATTGTCAGTTTAAACATCCTGAAAAATCATTGAGTTATCTAAAAAATTTAAGCTCAGACCATACTACACACTAATCTGAAATCTTCCCAATTCCCAAGGATTCCTAACCAAGAAACTGAAAGGTATTTTCAAATGAAACAAAAAATTACTCTACCCCTAGCCACAGTTATAAGGTGATTAAGGATAGATTGGGGGAGAGAAAGCATGTTTAAGAAACTGAAAAAAATGCTAGGAAAAGCATCTGGATAGGCAAGTTTCAGACTTCTGGACGAAGTTTTTCAGTACTGTCTGTAGATTTACAGAACAGGCTAATCATTTTAAAGTTACTTTAATATTTGCATGTCTGAATTGTGCCATTATTGCCAACTCAGATTCAGCCAATAAAGACTAGTAATACAAAATGCTGATTGGCACTAATCAACACACCCAACCCTGGAAACAACTTATAATCCTTTTGTAACTCCCTTTCAAACTCCGTACAAGTTTGTCTCACATCACCACGAGTCCTTAAAAAGTGAACACAGAACTAATCTACACCACATATATCCTGTATCACGTACTAGATGCCACCTGTAGATGCAGTTAAGCTCTCCAACAAACTTTTTGGTACTGCCTCACATGAACACCTAAGTCCACAAAAAATTACATTACACAACATCTAAGAGATACTGTTTATTTTTTTTAAACAAGCTCAAATCAATGGGCCTTATCCAAATGTAACCCGAAATCAATCTAAGAGTTATCTTTCTAACCCATTCACTGAAACTGTATCTGACCAAAACAAAATACCTGTTTAATCACTTTGACTTCAAACTTCAAACTTTATCATCCTGCAGTCCTTTCAGATCCGGCATTATGCGATATATCGTAGTTCAATGTTGAGAAGTACTCTAACAAAAGCCAACCTCAATTGATAAAGAATTAACTGGGACTTCGAGTAGAAAAGCAAACTACACAGAACTTAGCCACAACATTAACTTGAACTACAGTGTTACTACTTCCAACCTTCAGTCTTCCAGAGAGGGGAGAGGAAAAATAACTTACAGAATACACTCACACTTGAGCCAAACGTATTCCCTTTCTTGTTTAATCTTAAGCCACAGGACTGGCTTCACAGCACTGTTACGATTGTCCATAAACGCAACTGCCTCTACAAACTTTAGATAACTGGTTAATTTTTTTCTTTAATTGATTTACATATATGTTCCTATGTGAATTTTAACACCTAAATTAAAGTCGGGTTTTTTTTTTTTGCGTCCACAGTGACTTGAGAGGAAAGATGTTCTGAATTGATTGATGACTGGTGCACAGTACAGAGGTAGCAAGAGATGCTATCTATGTTCAATATTGCCAATCTTACCTTTTTCCTCTTAACTGGCGTAGATGGTGAAATACATTAATCACATCTCTTATTCTTCTAGGCGCTTCTTCAATTTTTGACGCAAGATTAATACAAGCCATGGCAACAATCTGAAAGAACCCACGAAGTAACAGTAACTATTGTTAGATTAAACATACTTTGTTTAATAAACTTTAGAATTTAGTAAGGAGGAACTTTAGCAAAATAAAATTACAACTGACATTTTCAAGCCACGGGCTGACCAGCTTTGCGCAACTCCTCGTAATTTTTGTCTAGACACAAACGTTAAGTGTTGCAGGAGTTTGGCATTTGGGTGATAATTGTAATCCTCGATAAGAGGGCAGTGGGGCTCGGGATCCATTTTCTAAATTCTGAAGCACAGTCTAAAGGTTTCCACTTCCCGGCCACTGAAAACTAGGTACAAAGGCCCAAACTAACCACTCCCTTTCTGCAAGAGCTGGTTGCTGATACTATCCCGTTTCCGTATGAAAAAAATCCTTGTAATACGCCTCCGCAGTGCTTACCTCGAAACTGTGTTTGACGAAAGATTTGGAATAGAAAAAACGATGAAACAACACCTGCCCCGTTGCCATCGCCACCTGCAGACAAGAGAGGAGAACGGAGGCGCAGGGGTCAGGCGGGCCCGCACCAGGCGCCGCCGCCATTTTGTGCCGCCGCTCGCTTCCCCTCCCCCTCCCGCCGCCGTGAACAGCCCGCCGCCGGGTCCCGCCTCCGCCCCCGCGCCGCGGCGCCACACCGCCCGGCCGAGCCATCCCCACCCTGGCCGGACACAGCGGTCCGGGCACGCAGCTCGGGGGGCGGCGGGGAAGTGAAGCGCGCCTGTCCGGCCTTGGGCCGGAGCACTGACCTGCGGTAGCCGGAGGAGAATGCCGGCGGCCTGGATGAGCTCGCAGCCCAGGATGCGCAAGTCCGTCTCGCTGGGCAGGTCCAGCCCGTCCTGCATAGACGGGGTAGGCGAGAGCCTCTCCTCCGGAATCAGCGAGTGGTCGATGGTGAGCGAAACTTCCGAGTATAGGCGGTCGCCGATCAGGATCCCTCCCGTCGTGGTCGTCGTCGTGGTCGTCGTCCCGGAGCTGGAGCCACCAGCGCTTGGGGCGGCCGAGGCGGCGGCGGCGGTCGCTGTCGGGTGAGGCCCGGACGCCATAGTCTCTGGGAGCTGCACGCAACCCCAACGCAGCCGGAACCCGAAGCGAGACTAACCAGGGTTCTCGGCGCGACGGATATTCCCGTGACCGCCGGGTTGGGCCGCTTCACGCAGCGTGCGCTTCCGCTCTGACGTCACCACGCCCGGCGCCGCGCGCCAACTAGTCCCTCCAGGCCGCGCCTCCCCCGGCACCTTATTCCTGGAGTCTCGGCTCCCGCTGGGGTCGCCCGAGTCTGCCAGAGACGCGGGTGTTGCCTGCCTGATCCCTCCTCCTGGGGTCCCGAGTAGGCCGGGAGACCGGCTCGAGCTCAAGCAGGTCCGATTCGCCTTATTTGTTGTATAGTGGGCCACCAGGACGAGCGAGCTTACAAGATACCTGAAATCCCCAGACTGAGTTGACATTCACAATCTTCCCTGCGTGATTTGCCTGCGCTCCCTCTCTCGTCCTCTTCTAACTTTCCGCGGGGCGTGTTCGGTGTGTACGCGGGGAAGCGTGGGGCAGGCCTTCGCCTGCGTGGCTGGAGGAAATGGCAACTGGTCTGTGTGGACGGACCTGTAACTTCGGCGGCCCGCAGGGAATCTGGAGAGGGGTGCTTTACAGCATTTTTAGAAAACAGAGCTGTGAATCGTATCGGTTCCCCCAAAAAGCTGTCGGAGGAGCGTGTGCTGCCCAGATGGGCGGAGCAGGGCTACGGCACTGCAGTGACCGGGAGGGCGGTTGCTTTTGTAATTCCTCCAGCGAAACGTGCTCCCGCGATACCGTCACAGCTTTCGGTAATCTGGAAAATCCCTGGTTTCCAATAATAGTTTTAGGGCGAGGACCTGGCAAAGGCAATTTGTTTATGCCTGGAAGTCTTACGTATTCCTACACGATTAAACAGGTAGGCAGAATGGAATAAATCAATCTCAAATTTTTTCCTGTGATACTAGCTAGCAATTCCTGGAACTTCCCTAAATTTGAATTAGAAACAATGATCCTGTCTTAATTACTAGACGCTACTCCTGTGGATCAGAAAGCGATACTCTTAGAAGCTGCCTCTAGGTTCCCACCTTTCTCCAAACGCCGGGAAATATACTCTTACAATGACAAGAAAGTTTCTTTCCCAAAGTAACACAATTGCCTTCCTCCCCTCTGTGAAATCTCATTGTCTCAGAAAAGGACAGGAATGCAACCACACCTGGAACGACATTTTCCCAAGATAGTGCCTCTGAGACATTGAAATTCCAAAGAGAATCTCTTCCAAGTTAATCCCTTTCTGCCCTTCAAAAGAAC